GCTTAACCATCACCTCAGTCTCCAGAGCAAGAAATGAGGCTTCCACCCAGCGTCCTCACTGAGAAGACTCCAGGGGCCAAAGGGGGCCTACCCAGCAAGTCTGTTACAAGCCCACCCCATCTCCCGACCAGATGGCTACCCAGCTTCTAAGCAAAGCAGCGTGCAGGAGGCCATTCCTCCCCCTCCTCCTGGTTCAGCCAGGAAGCCCCTCTGTCCAGGAAGCCACAGGGGTCCCTTAACCCCACACAAGCCCACACAGCAGGGGCCGAGCTCAGCAGGGAGCACCTCACACCGAGGTGCGCCTCCAGGCACTCTCCCTCCCGTCACCACACCGGGGAAACGATCCTTCAGCCAGGAAGCTGCCCTGCGTGGCCACCGTGGAGTACAGCCTGCTCAGCCCCTGTGCCAGATAACCGCGGATGCCCGATGCGAGCGGCGAGGGTACACCACGCAGGGCTAACGGAGCAAAGCGTGCTCAATTCTCAGCCTCGGTCCATCGGGCCACCTGCACACACAAGCCTCGCGTGGGAGGGACACACGTGCAGTCAGAGCCTCCACTCGCCTTCAGGTAATTCAAGACGCCGATGTTCTTCATCTGGTCCGCAAAGGCACTGAAAGTCTCCACGTTGCTTTTGGGGTGGTAAAATAGAATTTCGCTTCCAAGCTTCCATATAATCTGTCAAAGCAAAAATTACTACCAAAATGTACGATTTTAATTTTTTTCAGGTTGGAACATTGAAAACCCTATACTTCTTTATCTAGAGAGTATTATTGTCAATATTTTATAATAGTTTATCGAGTAAAATGAGTATCACATACTATGGAATAAAACCTCAGTTATTTGAATTAATTTAAAACTAAGTAAAGCAGGCAATGGTGGGTGACACAGGCCTGTAATGCTAGCACTTGGGAGACTGAGGCAGGAGGATCACCACGAGTTCAAGGCCAGCCTGGGCTACAAAGCGAAGTCAAGGCCAGCCTAAACAGACCTTTTTGGATCCTATGTCAAAAAAATCAAAATAAGTTAAATATAAAATAAAAAATGCTAAGTGTAACAGTATCATTAAATTAGCAATCTAAAAAAGGCAGGAAAGGGCAAGCCAAATAGCTCAATGGACTAAAGCGCCTGCTTAGGCAGAGCACAGCAGCCGGGGTTTGATCCCCCGTATACCGTGTTGGCCCCACCCCCGCGGCATGCGGAGATGGCAATCGATACTGGGCGTGGTGGCGCATGCCTGTAATCCCCAGTGCTTGGGAGGGTGAAAACAGGAGAATCACTATGAGTCCAATCTACATAGTGAGACCCTGTAGACCCTGTACCCTACAGACTCTGTACTAAATATAAATGATAATAATAACAAAGGCAGAGAATATACGTAATAAAAATAAATTTGGAGGTAGGGGTGCACATCTGCAATCTCAACACTTGAGAAGATGGGACAGGAAGATGGCTGAGAGCTTGAGGCTAACCTGAGTTACACAGTGAGTATGATAATAAAAATAAATAGAATAACATAAATAGTAATAACTCTACATTTAATAATAATATACCACAGAATATTAACAAATACAAACTTTCAGTCAGTGCAGGAAGAAGACTATGCCAAAAAACTGGAGTTCCAGGCACACTGGCTTTGTCCCTGATCTCAGCCTCTTCACCCTCTATAGACAAGGACAACAGAGCCCAAGTCTGCTGAGACCCCATCTGAGGACCACATCTGCTCTGTACTGAGAATGCCAAATTAAGAATTTTCCACAAAGCCAGGTATGGTGTCCCACACCAGTAAGCCCGGCATTTTAGGAGGCTGAGGCAGGAGGACTGCAAGTTCCAGCCCAGCCTGGGCAACCCGGTGACATAGTGAGATCCAGTCTTAAAACATACAAAGGGCTGAGGGTGTAGCTGTGGGAAGGCCCTGGGTTCAACACATCTTCAGTGGGTGAACTGCATGATGTGTTCGTTAATTATGTCTTGATAAAACAACAAAACAACAGATCACTCTGGGTAAAGACACAGAATGACTCTTGCAAAGTATAAAGCCCAAGAAAGAAGTGCAATCAAAAGATGATTTTATTTTATTTTATTTCATTTATTTATTTATTTTGTGGAACCGGGGATTGAACTCAGACCCTTCTGCTTGCCAGGGAAGCACTTATTCCACTGGGCCATCTCCCCAGCCCCAAAAGATTATTTTAATGCAGAATTCACAGAGTTTTTGTCTGACGGTGAAAAACATCCTGTGCAGGGGAAGGGAGGAAGCACCACTGGAATGCACTGATGTCAGGGGTCTGGGAACCAGAGTTCAGATCTGGAGTCCCTGCTTGGGCGCAGCCTGCCGCTGGCTGCTGTCCGAGTCCTCCAGGGTCTGCAGGTAGCTGTACATGAACTCGGCGGCGCGCGGCCACTGCTGCTGCAGCAAGGCCTCCTGGGCGAGACTCAGACAAGCACCTGTGGTCTGCGCAAAGTCCTTCTTCTTCTTCCCTCCAGCTGCTAGAAAGATGGAAGATTCAACCATTCAGGAAACCTAAACAAGCACAAGTCTCACCAGGGCAGCTTCACTGGACACACTCAGACAAAGAAAAGCCAAGCAGATACTGTTGAGCTAGCAGAGCCACCATGTCATTCAAACACGACTCAAGGCCGGCGAGATAGCTCAGCAGACCAAGCACCTGCTCAGGCAAACGCAGGGACCAGGGTTTAATCCTTGGCACCACAGAAGCACCAAGACCAGGCTTGGTGGTGCATACTTGTAATCCAGCACTGGGGAGGCTGAACACAGGAGGATCACTACCAGTTCGGTCTGTGTAGTGAGACCCTGTAGACCCTGTACTAATTACATTCAAAAAAAAATCAATGATTCTAACGTCTTTTGCAAGTCAAACTACATCTTTGCACTAGAAGTTTTTCACTTCTTTGATTTTTATTTCTAGTTTATCTGAATTGTAAAATGATCCAATAATGATCATACGATTCTCACATGAACAATTAGAAGCGAAAGACCTCATATACTGTTTGTTTAAACTCCATTTCTGCTGGGCATACAGGTCAGCAGCACACAGCCCACCTGGCAAGCATGAGGTCCTGAGTTCAATTCCTGGTACCAAAAAAACAAAAACAACAACAAAAAAACTCCATTCTGGGCTGGGGAGATGGCTCAGTGGAATAAGCGCTTCCCTGGCAAACACAAGGGCCTGAGTTTAATCCCCGGTTCCACCAAAAAAAAAAAAAAAAAAAAAAAAAAAAAAAAAAAAAAACCTCTTGGGCATATATTAAAAAAAATTTTTTTAAAAACCTCCACTCTGATGTCTTAATCCATATATGATTAAAATTTCTCAGCGCTAGCTGGATACGGTGGTACATGCCTATAACCCTAGCACTCAGGAGGCTGAGGCAGGAGAATCACCATGCATTCAAAGCCAGCCTGGGCCACATAATGAATTTAAGGCCAGTCTAAACTACATAGTGAGACGCTGTCTTTTCTCAGAGATTAAAAGAGAATTGATGCCAAATGTTTTCTCATTCTAAAAGAATGATCACTTATATGAGCCACTTAGGAAAAGGTAATAAATATATTTAAGCGTTTCCCTCTCAAGTGCAAGGGCCTGAGTTCAATCCCTGGTTCTGAAGAAAAAAAAAACAAAACTTAATTTACTTTTTTTTTTTTTGGTGGAACTGGGGATTGAACTCAGGCCCTTGTGCTTGCCAGTGAAGCACTTATTCCACTGAGCCATCTCCCCTGCCTTAATTTACTTTTTGAATACTCAGATTTAACAAAAATTATTTTAAACAACTGTGTACAACTAATTAAAAATTTTAATACTCAAAAACATTAAGTATAAAGGCAAATTCAAGGGGCTGGGGAGATGTCTCAGTACAACAAGCGCTTCCCTGGCAAGTGTAAGGGTCTGAGTTCAACCGGTTCCGCAAAAAAAAAAAAAAAAAAAAGGCAAATTCATATAAAAGTTTTTTCAAACGTATAGAAGGTATTACATCTCTGTACTAGATTCCATCAAATCTATTTTAAAATAATATAATTTCATTTAAAATGCTATTATGTACTAGAAAGTATCTATTAAAACTTTTTTTTCTTCTTTTAGTATGGTGGTCTACAGGGCCTCATTACACAGATCAGATTCATGGTGACTCTCCTGTTTTCAACCTCCTAAACACTGGGGTCACAGCTTACACCCACGACGCCCTGCCTCAGTCGCTAGCTCAGCATGACCTGGGGGCGGGGCTAGCGCAGCATGCTGGGGCTCAAACCCAGTCCCTGTGTCTACCTAAGCTGCTGAGCTATCTGGCTGGCTCTGTTAAGTGTTAAAAAGAAACTTGAAATGACACCTTAGAATTGTGCAAGGCAGAAAACAATCTGAAAAAGAACAAAGTAGGGGTTATGTAGGTTAAAAAAAAGTAGAAGGTGACTGCCCTAAAGGCTTCCAAACTTTCATGTACAGATAATACACCTGCTGCTCGTGCCCTCCTGAAACTGGGAACACCAGAACCAGCTGGAAATGCAGAACACAGCCCACCCAGCCTCCAGATCAGAAGCTTCAGCAACAAGCTACACTCCAGCCACTCAGACCAGCAACACTCTCAGGCAACCAGTCCCCAACACTGACAAAATACCATGCCCCTAAAATATATTTCATTCACCTGAAAGAAGACTATTCTCGGGCCAAGAGAGAGCTAGGGGTCCCTCTCCACCTCAGAGTCTCCAAGGGTAGCCCTGAGGACAGACAGACCAGACTTGACTGCTGAGACCACGACCTATTTGTCCAGACATGTGCTGGCACGCTCCAGCAATCCCAGCATGCCGGAGGTGGAGGCAGGAGATCACTCGGGGTGGGACAGCCTAGGCGAGTGAGTTCAAGGCCACTCTGAGCTACACATCAAAGGAGTGGACTGGATTCCTAATACCACTACTCCTTTAAATTCCAGTTTCCTCATATTTAAAATGCCTAGCATAGCTGGGCATGGTAGCACATTTCTGTAATCCTAGCACTTAGGAGGATGAGGCAGGAGGAACAGTGCAAGCTGAGACTAGCCAGGCTACAAAGTGAGCTCAAGGCAGGCTGAACTGCATACCATCACCCTGCCTCAAAAAGACAAAAACTTTTTAAAAAGAAAAAAGTCTAACATGTAAATTTATTGAGGATGGATTTACTGAGGTCATCAAATGAGACAATACTTAAGTTTTTACAATGGTCTGGCGGTACACACCTGTAAACTCAGCATTCGGGAGCTTGAGGCAGGAGGACTGCTTCAAGTTTAAGGCCAGCCTGGGATACAAAGTGAGTTCAGGGATAGGGAGATAGCTCAACAGCTTAAGCACCTGCCTGGCAAGCACAAGGTCCAAGGTCCTAAGATTGATCCTTGGCACCAAAAAAAAGGGGGGAAAGAAAGGCAAAGTGAGTTTAGGGTCAACCTGAAGTACATAGTGAGACCCTGTCTCAAAATAAATACCGACTAACCGACTGACCCACCCACGCACCCACCTACATACAAGCAAAATAAAAAAGGGCTGTGGATGTAGCTCAACGCGAAGGCCCTGGCTTCATTCCCAGTCCATCACACACACAGACACAAGAGGGAAATTTTTATTGGCAGGAACTAAATTCCAGAAGCCAAGGAATCTCTGCAAGGAGAAAGATGGCAGAGCCAGGGAAGACGTCAGGGTGGAGAGGCAGCACATACATCCCCAGATCTATACTACCCAACACAAATATATTTAAATGCTGCTTTTATACATTCCTATAGGGAATTTAACTCACAGAAAAATTGCTTGTGCTTGCATTTGATAAAAATGGGTGGAACACGGGGGAAAGTACTCTGCTTTAAACCTATTACATCATCATTGTATTAGGAGTTATTTCAACAAAAATTCAGCAATTCAACAGAGATTTCCTAGGGGCCGGGGAGATGGCTCAGTAGGATAAGCGCTTGACCGGCAAACACAAGGATCTGAGTTCAATCCCCGGTTCCGCCAAAAGAAAAAAAAAAAGCAGAAATTTCCTGAATACTTCTCAAGCATGAGCTTCTCAGTGGGACATGCATGCGGCCAGAGATGGCTCAGTGGAATAAGTGCTTCCCTGGCAAACTCAGGGGCCTGAGTTCAATTCCTGGTTGGGGGGGGATGCCATACACCCTTCTATTCAGCCAGCCCTGAGATAAGGCAAGCACTGCTTTATTTTATTTATTTTTCTGGCAGACCCAGGGAATGAACTCAGCCCCTTGTGCTTGCCACCAGGGAAGCGCTTATTCTACTGAGCCATCGCCCCACCCCCGCCTCGCAAGCACTGCTTTAAAAAAATGCAACCACCATAATATAGACTATACGTTAAGGATTTTTTTAAAAAAAGAATCTCTATTATTTCTTTTCCAATTGTAGCCCAAAAGATGATAAGCACCGAGAGTATCTTGAAAACTGAGCCCTCTTGGCTGTCCCTTTGGACGCGAGCCGGCCCTCACCGTCCCCTCGCAAGAAAGCCAGCACGGCTCGGTCCCACCTACTTACCCACGCTGTCTAGATGTTTGCGCAGCCACGGGAAGTGCATGCCCGCACCAGAGACCACACATGTTTCCACTTGGTCACCGTCTGACCCCGGCCTTGGCAATTCTTCACTCAAATCACTCATGCCTATTCCAGAGCAAAAACACAGCACCAGTTACTTGTTGTGTGTCTTAACCCAAAGGCTGCGTTCCAGGAGTGATTCCCATCACGTCAGCCAACAGCATCACCTGGCCAGCAAAACCCACTGCATCCGGCACCTCTTCCAAGGTGCGCAATGGAAGTTCAGCACCATCCAAGAGGGTCCACGAGAAAACCAACTATTTCTGTATCCCAGCACACACGAAGACATGACACCGCCCCCGACTAGAAAGAAAAGAAAGCACACACCGAGAGAAACAGCGCAACGCGCACCAAACACTGTAGCAAGCACAACGGGAACGCAGTAGTAGCTGTTATTTCCTGGCGCCTTGCCACACACCTGGCCTACAAATTACTTCTCTTAATCGGACTTCAGCCTGGCCGAGGAAGCTACAGACAGAGGCCAAACTCGCAGCGCCGCTAATCCGCAAAGCGACCCGGGGAGCCCTCGCTCGGCCCCACGTCGGCGCGACAGGAGCGCCTCGTCCGTCTCCCGGCGCGTCTTCAGCTCTCGGCTCTCTCCGCACCAGACAGCAGGATCCCGGCTCGGGACACCAAACTGCCTCGATCGCTGCTTCTTTACCAGCGGCCAGAGGAAAACGTCGGAAGTGGAGCCGGGGCCAACCGGACAGGTCTGCAGGACGCGCGGGCCACGCTCCCACCCGCTCGGTCCTCCGAGGCGCCCCAGCGCGCGCGCCCTCCGGGAGCCGCGGGACGCACGCCCGCGGGACGCGGTTGCCACGGTAACCCGAGCCCCTGCGCCCCACCCCGCGTCCTCAGAGCTCAAGGCTCCAGAGCATCAGACACCCAGAAAGCTCCACGGGCGTGGCCCAGCAATCCTGCCCGCTCCCCTGGGTCTCAGTCGCACACAACCACCCCAAGCGAACCCCAGGCAGCACCCAAGCTCTACCTGCTCCGGAGCCGCGCGCTGAGACGCACCGGAAGCGGAAGTGGCGAGCGTTTCCTGTGCGCATGCGCAGGACCCGCCCCGCGCCCCGGCTCACGACGCACGCGCGTCCGGGCCCTACTGCCTGTTTCGCGCTGGCAATTTGGCGGGCGGCGTCTCGACCTGGGAAGTGACTTCCGGGATGACCCCGGAAGTAAACATTGAGGGAGCCTTTCAGGTAAACTTGGCTCCAGAGTTACGTCTCGCCTGTCACCTACTGAAAAATGAAAGACTTGCGCTGCGTATGGAGATCGCGGTGCGCGACGGCGCCTGGGCGAGGGAGCGGTGACAGGGAGCACTGTCACTTGACCCGAAGAAATCCACGCACAGCCTTCTGGTTTCTTCCTTGAAAACTTTTTTAGCTTTCAGTTCAGTGACTTGACTCCTCCGCAACTTGGGCAAGAATTCTGTTTTTCCTCTCAAGAAGGTGGACCCGGGGCCGTGTGGACCAGCTTTGATGAGAACGCGGATAACCGCCTGTGCAGTGAGAGGCGGGGAGCGGGCGCCAACCCCGCAGGGAGGGATGCCGGGCGGGAAGGCGGCGCGGCGCTGCGTGGGGCTCCGCGGGCCTCCGCGGGCTCGGCGGACAGGCGCGCTTGACTCACACAGAAAATGAACAGTGTGGGGCCGGGCAGACGGCTCCGTGGAATAAGCGCTTCCCTGGCCAGCGCAAGGGCCCGAGTTCAATCCCCGGTGCCGCAAAAAAAAAAAAAAAGAAGAAGAAGAAAAATGAGTGATACCAAGCCTGATCTGATCAAGAGTCCACCAGTAATGGGGTCACTGCATGACTCAGGCAGCATACTGGCCTTTAGAGACAGTGTAATCCTGACTTCCAATAAGCTATAAACGTCCACAATACAGTTAAATTTCAGCAGGGTGCAAAGAGATAAAAATGGGAATCATAAGGGAAAAGGCATGCATTGAAAAATCTGAGCTCACCCAGGTGTCAGGATTAGCAGAAAACAAAGTGCAATTTTAAATGTACATAATTTTATTTATTTCTGCCTTTTTGAGACGGTCTTGCCATGCAGCTCAGACTGGCCTTGAGCTCACTTTGTAGCCCAGGCTGGTCTTGAACAGGCAAGGATCCTCCTGCCTCAGCCTCCTACGTGCTGGGCTTAGGGGCATGCACAAACACGCTCACCCTGCATAATCATCTTGTGGTCAATTTTGTATCCAAACAGATCTACTAAAATAATAACTACTGATGTCGCCTGGCTGCTCAGTTGTTAGGGTAGTCATTAACTTTGCCCTTCTTTCACTGAGCGCTCCCACCTACAGTTGGCCGGGGTCAGTGTTGGAGTACTTTTGCTGCTCTGTATGGCAGGAAGCTAATCACAGCGAGGTGATTGATACCAGCTGCTGTGACCTGATGCATGTTTCCTTAGTTAGTATTGTCGTTGTAATGACTGCGTGCTAAGTCTCAACCTGTTTTCTCTTGGGTTGCACGTAAGCCCCCATGCTTGTACTTGGAAAAAGGAAAACACTGCCACAGCCAGTCCAGTAATTCAGACTGTATCCCTGAGTTGACTGTTAGCGCAAAGAAAATCCATGCAACTCATTAAGACTTAGACTTAGGATAGTGTAGAAGATAAGTATGGGAATAAGGGACTGTAACACTACATGAGACTCCCCTTAGAAGTTAGAGAATAAAGCCTCAGCGGCGCGAGGCTCCTTTACGGTGGTGCAGTTGATCCTGATCCTCAGTTTCACTGATGGAGATGCTGCTTGTGTGACCCGGTGGTGAGAGCGCCGACCTCATCGCTCAGCGCCACTGGGTGGTGCAGAGGTGGAGCCTGATTGGAGGAAGCGCCCGGGCACCCGGACCTGGCCTCCCCGCTGGCTTTGCTCAGGATCGTGTCAGCATGTTTTGGGGGGTATTTTGGTGGAGCCAGGGATTGAACTCGGGCCCTTGAGCTTACCAGGCAAATGCTTATTCTACTGAGCCATCTCCCCAGCCCCTTCAAGTGAGTTTAAGGCCAACCTGAACTACAGACTCTGTTTCAAAAAACCCCCACATATTTGAATGCTTATGAACTAAAATTTTTAAAATATATTTTATATTAATTACAAATGAAAATGGCATTTTAATATATTGGATTAAGTAAATGGGTTTTTTTTGTTTGTTTTTGTTTTTTTGGCAGAGCTGGGGATTGAACTCAGGCCCTTGAGCTTGCCAGGCAAGTGCTTATTCAACTGAGCTATCTCCCCAGCCCCTGTATTTTTATTTTTTTAAATAAATGTATTATTAAAATTAAATTCACCTGGGCCAGGGAGATGGCTCAGTAGAATAAACGCTTCCCTGGCAAGCGCAAGCCTGAGTTCAATCCGTGGTTCTGAAAAAAAAAAATTAAATACACCTTTTTTGTTGTCCCTTTTGAAATGTGACTTTTGGAAAATCAAAATTGTATATGTAGTTGGTGACTATTTCTATTGGACAGCATTTTCTAGGGATTCAGTAGGAAGGCTAGTGTCACTTGATGCTTCTCCCCATTTCATCATGTGGGAATTCTCACAATGGCCCCTCCATTTCTAAATTCAAGCGCTGAGGACCAGGAGGTTCACCTTGTCTCCACGGGCCATCTGTTGCCAGCCAGCTGTAGTGGCGTGCTGTCTCAAAGACAGGGAAGGTCTGCCTCCTCCTCAGCCCTCCGTGTTTCCTTCAGAGACGCTGAGCTTCCCAGGGCAACTTGAGCAGCTGTAAGCACCCTTGCTTTCTTCAGTGAGAAGAAGAAGGTTTTGGTTGAGCACTGTCTATTTTTTTTTAATTTTACTTATTTATGTGTGTGTGTGTGTGTGTATGTGTGTGGCCAGCTCAGCCCACCAGGGGGCGCAGCTGGCTGGCATGTGGTGCTGGGGGATTGAACCGCGGTCCCTGTGCTTTGCTAAGCTTGTTCTAAATAGGCGCTTTAGACCACTGAGCCATCTCACCAGCCCCAAGAGCACTGTCTACAAACCACACCTTTGTGACAAAGCCATTGGTAGCCAAGACTTGTTTCTTTAGTCATCTACAGTGGCTGTCATTCACTGTCAGGGATTTTGTTTGTTTGTTTAATTGAACAACATAATGAGGAAATGTTTGCATTTCTCATTTGTTTCTTTAAAAACTCTAGGCTGGGGAGATAACCCAGTGGTCTAAGCACCCGCCTGGCAAGCACACAGACCTGCTACGAGCCTCGATACTACATGCCACGCCAGCCCTCAAACTTTGGGCACACTGTGTGGCCCTGAAACCAGGCCTGGTGGTGCACACCTGTAACCCAGCGCTGGGGAGGCTGAGACAGAAGGATCACTACACGTCTGAGCTGCATAGCGAGACCCTGTACCAAATAAATAAATAAAAGATTAAAAAATAAAAACTCTAAGAAGACTTCTCCTTGGCATCAGTGCTACTGGTGGGAGAGTCTGAGACAGAAGGCTGGCAGCTTGTCTCAGGTCTCCGGCTCTTCCACTGCAACCCCGCCCTGACGCCTTCCTGGTGAGGAAGTAGTTCATATCAGAAACTAAATGGACAAAGCCAAATAGTCTGCACTTTGGCAATTGATTATACAGACCGCACCCCACATTTGCTCTGCACTTGTTTCAAAGCATCAAATATTTGACTTTATGAAAATAATGCCAAGGTAAATTAGGCCGAACCGGAAGCAGGAATTTGTATATACATCTATGCAGTTGTGGCAGTGTCAGATGTTTGAGTTTATTTGTGCAATAGAACGCGACTGTTTGGGCTGGACAAACTGTCCACGCTGGCACAGATGTGCCTGGTACATGACTCGCTCTGGGGAGGGCAGGACACTCGCTTAACTTCAGTTAGACAATCCCTTTCCTTTAAGTCAGAGCGTTCTTTATTTTTATTCTAAGTGCTCAGGCTTGGTTTCCAAAGGCCTTCTTACTCTGACCCATCCTGGCCATACAGCTTTGTCCTGCGTTTCTAACAGAATCCTTTCGCTGTATGGAAATAGGACTTCCTTACTGTCTTAAATGTAACACTTTCTGCTGTGGTTTTCCATGTTATTTTCTCACTTTCCCTTTCCTCTCTTCTTTTTAGACTCTTAAGTCCTGTGTATTCACAGAGGCCTAGCAGATCTCATCCCCCATCACTCACTTTCCTCTTTCTTCTGACTCTTTAATGCTTGAGACTTGGACCAAAGCACTTTCTAGCACTGATTGGGTGGCAGGGTAGGCTTCCCCCAACCTCTTCTTAGTTTTACTAACGCAGTGACTGCTGCTAGCAAGAGACACCTGTTTATCTCTTAGCAGCTCCCACTCTGAAGATCAGAGAGAATCTGGAGTGACCTGTCATCCTCCGAACAGAACTGGGGGGCTCCTGGGCCCAGGTATGAAGGTGGGCCACCTCCTAGACACTGGTACAAAGGCCAGACTCTGAGGAAAGGGAAGAAAGACAGAGACCTCAGGACATCAGCAGGTAATGGCACTGCGCAGGGCAGCTTGCTACACAAATGTGTATTTGTTGTTGTTTCCTGACTCTGTTGTGACCAGTTTTTGGTTTTTTTAACTAAGACTCATTAGAATTTATCTGACGTATAACTTTAGTTACCTTTAAAGACAGAGGAATCTGATTTCTTTCTAAGAGTGTAAACTCTCCGTCATGTGGTTCCACAAGTGTGCTTCTTGTCCCTCAAAGAAGACTTGGAGGAGGCCTGATTGAGACCACTAAGCAGCAGCTCTGAGCAGGATTTACACTACGCAGTTGGCTTTCCGTGTTAACTGTGAGTCTGTCTGAGGGAGGCCCAGGCGCCACATCTAAGGCCACAGCTAAAGGCGCCTGGCTCCAACCTCAGCTAGATCAAGACAAGACTGAGGGCTGCAGGCATCTCACTATCTGGGTGGAGACCTTCCTGGAGAGAACGTGGTTCTCTTAAATTAACATAATGTCTCACTTGCAGAAGTTCTTGAGTGGTTCCACCTTTCTTCAGTATTCTCCCTTGTTTTGATAAATAAATATGGGCTTCCCAGAGCAGATCGCTATTCTAGCTTCTAGAGAATCTTGGATTCTGTTAGCGGGTTTTGATCCTGCAGGAGCCCTAAAATCATACCACGTGATTCATTTAAGCCTTCACTGTCCACTCGTGTGGGAGATTGTGGGCCTGATCAGTCCACAGTAACCAAAGAATTAACACACTGGAGGTCTCTGCAGACGTCTGGAATATCTCCACTCCCCCTCTGCCTACCTCTTCCTGCCTGTACTCTGCTCTGTGAATTCTAGCTGTAGCTTCCCCAACTTTACAGCCTGTCTCTAGCTCCGGCAGCTTCCTGTTGAGTGTCCCTGCCCTGCTGGGACCTGAACACTCCCAGGGAGTGAGCTGGAACAAGGACCACACTCACCTCCTGGGCTGGCTGTCTTCTCTGGAGTCCCTGTCTTCTCTAACTGTCCAGGGTCTGACACTCTTGATTTATGTATTTTTTCTGCTTCTATAGATGTCTGACGTGGGAGGGCATACAGAAGCCCCCGCGGAGGGTACCAGCCTCCCACCTGGCAAGACGGCGCACGTGAAGGGACAGAGAGAAAGTGGTGCAGCTGAGGAGCTCTGGGACGGCTCGTGCTGTGTGGAACAGTAGGCCACGAGTCCAAGAGCTCACAGCTTTTATTGGTATCAATCAGGAAGGCAGGAAGGGGCCCCAGCAGAGTGCCAGGGAGAAGCATTTTGCAGGTGTGGCTGTAAGGAGAAATAAAGCGCCCTCGCGCCCCGCACAGAGGCCTCCAACTAGTGATGTAATAAGGGGGAGCTTGGTGTGCGCGACGCCGGCACCTTTGCTGCCAAGAAGGTATAATTCTTTCTGAGTCCACAGCCTCAGCAGAGACAGTATCTCAGGTCTTAGCCCTGGAATCTCACAGGCTCTTGCTCAGAGCCTCTATTCTACTGGGGGCAGTTCTTACCTGCTTTGTTATGCTGAGACTCATGAGCACCTCAGCCAGGCTCCAATAGGGCTGAAAGGTGAGATAAAGATGGACATGGGCAGTCATAGCTCAGCAGAACTTGGAAGTCTTCCCCAAGGGTGAATCTCTTACCCCGTGGGGTAGGAGCCAGGGTCTTCAATAACCCTTTCACCGTACTACATTAGCAGGCACTGAGTGTCCCCTTGCTGGGGGCACGAGAGGCTCTTCCTGGGACTTAAGGGTGGGCCTCCTGCATGCTCCGGGGGCACCAAGGCACTGTGCACTGGCACTGTTATTGCCATGCCTCCTCCAGACATGGCTCAGAAGTACTGTCTCACCGCCTATTATGGCTTGGCTCTAGCTTGTCCCCAAGCCTCGGTGCTGAAGGGTGGGTGGATCACAGGGCGGTGGGTCAGGTGGAAAGGGGGGTGTCCCTGGGGGATGCCCTGAGGGGTTATCTCCCACTCCAGCCCTTCCCTTTTGCTGACCCTTGCCCCAAAGCCCTGAGCAGCTTTCCTCCCGCTGCGTCTGCCTTGGGGCCAGTCGAGCCTGGGCTGGAACCCTGAACTAAACCTCTCCTTGGAGATAGGACTGTCGGGGAAAGGGTACCAGCGGAGAGAAAGCCACAGGTTCACACTTCAGGTCATGCAGACTTCAAGCCCCTGAGTCAGGAACCATCCACATCCTGTATTTCTGTCTCCTCCAACCCAAACATACACATTTAACTGTGATTCGGTGAGCACTCCCCAGGAGGTGTTAACAAGCAATATGCATAGAATAAGAGTTTAGGTTAAGCATCCCACGCCTGCAATCCTGGCACAGGGGAGGCTGAGGCAGGAGGATCCCTGCAAGTTAGAAACCATGCTGGGCTACATAGTGAGTTCAAGGTCAGCAACCCTGTTTTGTTTTGTTTTTTTTTTATTAATTTTTTTTTCAGTACCAGGGATTGAACTCAGGACCTTGTGCTTGCCAGGCAGGCACTTATTCTACTGAGCCATCTCCCTGGCCTCTAGCAACCCTGTTTTAAGAAAGCAAAAAACAAAGCGTACAGTAAGCATTAGTGCCACAGCACCCAAGACGGATGATGATCCTCCCACGACATTCGTCTGCTGCTCGGAAGAGGGCACCACCGCCTCGTGCTCACAGAGAAGCGTTCTGCCATTACCCACTGGACGTTCACATCTCCTAAGGCAATAACTTTTTTAAAAGAATGCACACAAATCAAAACCTTCCAAATTCTACGAAGTCAGTTCTTCAGCCCAAATATAAAAGGATCTCTACCACCAACTCAATATGAACAGCAGCACAGTAATGTTCAATTAGGTCCTTTTGCTGTTTTGCTTTTTCCACCAATCATCATTTTATTCTAAATGGAAGAAAAATTAAAATTACTTTTCATTTGCTTTTTTTCCTCTTTTTTGAAAGAGTTTTCGCTACACAGTTCAGACTCGTAGTGAGCCTCTAGTCTCAGCTTCCCTGTCTCGGTTACTCTTCTCTCATTGCTGGGACAAAATGCCCAACACCCAGGGCCAGCCAACTAGCTCAGCAGATTAAAGCACCTGCAAGCAGGCCTAGCGGTGTGCCAGCCCTGCCCCCGGGGCGCACTGAGAGGGCAACTGAGACTGGGTGTGTGGCGTGCGCCTGTAATCCCAGCTCTTGGGAGGCTGTAAACAGGTGGATCACTACCAGTCTGATCTAGTAGTGAGACCCTGAACACTCTGTAGACCCTTCCCTAAAATACAAAAAATACAAAAATAAAAAATACCCAACACCGAAGTTAAGGAAGGAAAGGCTTATTTAGCTCATCATTAGTGGAAGTTCCAGTCCATACTTCTGCCTCCAAGGCAGAGCAGCACGGGGCAGAGGCAGAGGGCAACAGTTCATGGCAGCAGAAAACAGTAAAACAGCAGGAGCAAATGGGAGGCGCAGCGGCAACCATGGCAGCAGAGAGCAAGTCTGTCTCCCTTATGTTCCATTCAGGCTATCTGCCCCGGGCTGGGTGTAGCTCTCGCACCTATAATCCCAGTAGTATTTACACTCAATCCCAGCACTGGATTGAGAATTAATCACAAACTCTAGAAGTCTGCTTCATAACCTCATAAAGTTTCAGCAGGACAACTACACACAAACCATAACACGCCCTGGCGCTGGAATTACAGGTGTGCCCCACCATGCTCAGTTCTGGGGCCAGCACAGTATGTGGTACCAGGGATCGAACTGCGGACCTTGCACTTGCCAAGCAGACATTTATGCCACTGATTTTCCAATAGAATAGGAAAAAAAAGTAAAGTGAGACTTCTTCCCTCCCCATCCGCTCAAGGTGAACACACTGTGCTGTTCCAGGTGTTGGGAGGCTACCAAGGGAGCACGTGTCACGCCCTTGTTCCTGGTGCCTTTCGGCTGGGTGATATTTGTTTCCCGGGCCTGGGTTTAGCCTGACCAAGTGCTGATAGCACGCGAGGAGCGGCAGGCTCATCCAGCAGCCACGTGTCAAGCACCTCGCACACGGCGGACCTCCCCATGTGTGGGGTAGCAGCAGTGGACGAGACTCCTGTTGCGGAGGAGTTTGCTTTGACTTGGGGTGTGGAGCAGTCAAACAGGTAAACATAAGGCAAGTGGCGAGAGCTCTGAGAACAATAAAACAGGTGCCAGGCACTGAGCTTGTTGGAAGGGCTTCCCTTAGGCAGGCTGGTCAGGGAAGGTCTCTATCCTCTGATGCAGCACTGTCGTGCTCTTAAGAGACCCCACAACACTTAGCCAGGTAAAGGGATTAGGGACACATGAAGGCCCTTGGGGGCTGTGTTGATTGTGGCCAGGGTCTCCCGGGCCTGACGATGTCGAGACTTACCCGGCTGCACACTTTACATGAGTGATGTTCAGTGGGCCCGTTATCAATACAGCTCTTACAAATAAAGACATTGGATGTGGGGTGTGAGGGAAGCGAGATCACGGCTGGTCAGCAAGCTCTGACCACGGACACTTGGGTGATAGCAATTACACTGCTCTTCCTACTGCCCAGGTTGAGAAGGCTGAACACTGCAAGGCTTGAGAGAAAACAGTCTTTCTCCATAAGAGTCAATCAGATATGCCTGCTGCACTGCAACGCACCCAAGCACACTAAAAAAGTGAAGAATAACAGTCCGCCGGGACCTAGCGCGGTCCTGCACGCAGCGCCAGCGCCAGAGCCCCGGGCCCAGAAGACGGGCATTCCCCAGGTCTCTGGCTGTAGCACTGTGGACTGCTGCGGGGCGGGGGGCTCAGGTTTTCTCTGGCTTTTACAGAATCCGATTACTCTGGGAAACCAACTGATGGGCGGGTCGCAGACAAACGCCACCTGCCTCAGGAAAAAAAAAAAAAAAATTAAAATGAGTCGATATGTAATTCAGTTACATGATCATTTAAATCAAATTTTCCTCTTCTGGCCAGAAAAAGGCACAAGATTTGTTTGCTGCACGACGGAAGCTTTCCGGAGCCGTGGTCCAAGGGAGGGCTCTGCCTGGTTTGAATCTCGGCTCCCTGCCCCGCCGCTCTGAGGACCGATGCCCCCATACCGTCCCTCTCGGAGGACCTGCAGTGGGAATCTGCGGTCCCTGGGGGAGCACAGCCCGGCACGAAGGCAGCACCCAGCGAACGCGCGCTGCGCCGCTGGCCTGAGCTCGCGGCTCTGCTCCCGGGCGTCGGCGGCGTCCCCTAGGTGAAGCCCCCGGGCAGGCCTGAGCTCCCGGCCACCTCCCTCCCGCAGCCCCCGGCCCGCCGGGCCGCGCACCCGCGAGCCTAGGGAGGCGGCGGGCAGGGACGGCCACGCGACTGCGCCTCGCGGAGGGCGGGACGCGCGCGGTCGCCAAGGCAGCGGGGGCGGAGCGTCGCCACGCAGCTGACGTGTCCCCTGCCCCCAGCCGTGCGGGCGGGACCGCAACATGGCTGCGGCGCGGACGCTGCTGCTGTCCCTGCTGCTGTCGCTGCTGCTGTCCGCGCCGCCCGGATGGGTGCGGGGACAGCCGTCCCCAGGTCGCGACCGCCGCCTCTCGGAGTTTAAGCTCTGCGCCGACGCCGAGTGCAGCAGTGAGTGCGGGCGGAAGCCGGGGCCACGGGGGTCGAGGGGGACCGCGGGGCGTCCGGAGGGCCCAGAGAGATCTCGGGGGTCCTGGGGGATCGTGGGGCATCGTGAGGACCACGGGGGATTGCGGGGACCGGGGAGATGGCGAGAATCAGAGGGCGAGTGAGGGCCAGGGGGCTTCGCGGCGGCCGGGCAGATGGGGGAGTCCTAGGGGATCGCGGGGGCTGAAGAGCCACCGGGTACAAGAGATCGCGGGGAGCCTGGGGAAACGTGTGGCGGCAGAGGTCTCTGGAGGCCGAGGGTCGAGGAGGTTCGGGGAATCACCATGTGCCTGGGAGTTCCAGGCGAGTGGCCCTGGGCCCTTGGCCCCCACCCCGATTCCAGGGCTGCGCCTCCACTTGTTGCGGGCGGTTTTCCTCTGCCGGCTGAGGAGCGATGGGGGCGAGGGTTCACGGGGACAGCCGGGGTCCCCTTAGGACAGCCAGCACTAGGTGGGTGAAGCCCTGTTCAGGGCCATGGGCAGGGGCTGTGAGCCACTTCCCTGCAGCTTCCTTTGGGATTTGGGCTGTGCTGACCCCTGTCCAGAGTTTAGGATCTGAACCAGTCCAGAATCTTGGCATGTGCTAGGTTCTGAGAGGCCCACCCTGCTGGCCTCAGCCCGGTGTTCTGTTGCATGGACGCCTCCCAGCAACCGGCTAAGAAGGCCCAAGATGCCGGGGAGGGCAGCAGAGATCTTTCCACTTAGAGGAAGAGGTCATTACAGTCACCATCATGCTCCACCTCAGGGTCTCCAGCCAAGTGGACTTGGGGCTGGCTCCTCTAACCTCTCCCTCTGGGCTGCTGGTCCAGGCAGCCTGCTCTCCAGTAACCTTGTAAACCACTGAGAGTGATGTTCATGAATTCATACATAATATCCATGCACTAAAGAACAAGAAACCAGCAGTTTAACTTTTGCATTCAAATTATGTTACCAAAAACAAACAATAATTTGCATGTTGGGGCCAGGGAGATGGCTTAGTAGAATAAGCGCATCCCTGGCAAGCACAAGGGCCTGAGTTCAATCCCTGGTTCTGCCAAAAAAATAAAATAAAATAAATAATAA